AAAAAGCGCTCAAAGAGAACACGCGACGCAACATGCCCCTCGCCCGACAGCTTCTCTGGAAGGATCCGATTCTCCCGCTCGAAACCGCCAGCGTTCCACCGAGGGAGCCGCAAAAGAGACCCGGATTCAATTCCGCGCCTCGACACAGCCGGAGAAAGTGCCGCTGAAGAATCCACCGCGCAAGGGATGCCGTCACACGTCCGTGCGTGCAGTTGTTTGGCGGGAAATTAACTGCATTTGTCCCGGGCCCCCTGAACACGGCACCATCAAAATAAAACCCCGACTGTCGGCAGCGGCAAGTCAGCAACGAGTAAAGGGGAGCAGTTGCTGGCTCTTGGCCTTCTTCCTCGCAGAAAACTGAACCCTGTCACCACGGTAAGGCAGCCCGCTTCTCAACAACTGCGTGTGGCCGCACGCGGGTGGGGCCCGCTTGGTGGAGGATCGCCTCCCGCGATTCTTGGGGCGGTTTTGACCCAGCCACTTCGCGGGGTCGGCCGGCAGGTGCGGGAATCCCTTACCTCCGCGAAAAAAAACAAGACTTATGAAGATCAAGGCGGCGTCTGCGACAACACGGGGGCCGAAATGTAAAATACTTCGTCCGCCGCCCAAGACCCTCACTGGGTCCCCCAACTCCTCTACGGAGCAGTGGCGCGCTGCAACACGTCTTCGCCGGCGGCGCTGGAACGCCCGGAGGGGTTTCACACCCGCGCTGCGTCGATGAGGGGTGCGCAGTGCTATCTGCAGTTGTGCGCGCGCGGCGGCGAGTTAGAGCGACACGCCGAGGCGCTTTCCCGCCTTTCCAACCCGTCGCACTCGGCTCTCCGCCTGGTGGCGTGTAAGTTGCGCGAGGATAGATGATCCTGGCACGCCCCGTTGCTGCGGAGTCCCCTCAGTGCTGCCAATGGGGTGTGCTTTGGCACACCGCCGCCGGGCGGATTGGGCGCCGGCGCAGATCCGGAGGAGAGAGGCACAAAGGATGCATGCCGCTTACGGAGTCGAAGGCGCATGCCCACAATACGCCCAATGGGCGGGCAGCCCGTAGAGCTCGGAGTGCGGCCCGGCCGCGCCGCCCCCTTGTTTGGGCACCAGGCACGCGCCCGTGCAGCGTGAAGTGTGGCGGCCGCTTGGTGGCGTGCGGCTGTCGAGCGGAGTGCCAGGCCACGGAACAGGGCCCCGCTGAGCTCCTGCCGCGCGTCCCGGTCACGTCAAGCAGACGCGCCGCCGCCGTGTTTAGCAACTTCCTGTCTCTCCTCCGCGCGCTTGAAACGGGTCCGACCCGAGCCACCGACGGGGTGCTCCACCGTGGTGCGTGCCCGCGCTTTAACTTCGTTTTTTGTGCACGCCGGCGCCCCTCACACATAACGAGGCGACTGGTGGAGTTGCGGAAGAAGCTGTGGGGATAGTTCAAGACGCACCGGTCCCTGGCGATGCCGGCCACCTCACCGCGGTGCCAGGGTCCAGTACCCCGTCCAGGGGGAAGCCAAGAGCCCGCATTATACTCAGTCGCTGTTGACTGGGGCGGGCGGCAGGCTATCGGCAACCAGAGAGGGAGCAAGCAGCATCACCGGCGCTCTGGGGTGAATGAAAGAGGAAGAAGGCTCTCCTGCACGTGCAAACGTGCTCTCTGTAGTATTTGCCGGCTCCTCTTGCTCACTAGCGGGGATGTCGAGCAGAACCCTGGCCCGTTAATTCGCGGAGCCCAATGGAATGTAGGTGGATTAACTCCGCCGAAGCGTCTCGCATTGGAAAATTTGCCCTACGACAGCAAGGTGGCCTTCTGTCTCCTGTCGGAGACGCATTTCAACG